CCAGCATTTATTTTTTTAAAAACATTGGCAGTAGTAATAGTTTTATAAACTATTAGAAAGTAGTAGTTTTATAATCTATTAGAAACAATCCAGCTTTGAAGGTTTCTTGAAGGGCTGGGGGCAAAATTTTATAGCAAATTTTCCAGATGTCTTTTTTTGCTTTTAAATAAAATATACATGTTGTTGCAGCAGAATGGTCCATGTAGTGGAATAAATTATAAAATATGATCATCAGTAGAACTTTTTTGCCTTCTTATCGCAATCTGATAAATAGGTATGTGAAAGTAAGACTTGTATGAATAAGAAGTTAGAGTTACCTTATGGCAACATTTCTGAGTATATCTAAAATCTCTCAAAACTGTGTTTGAATTTGTTTCTTAGGTTTTCATCCTGCCTTTTCTTAAGAAGTTCAAATTTCACTCTTCTAGATTTCACCATTACAATAATTCTAACTGATAATTTGATCAGAGAGACAGCTACTGGTTTAAACCAGTGACTTCCATTGCCAAGGAATGACTTCTATGCTGATATCTCCAATATCTTTACCACTGTAATACATTTCCTTTCTATACTTTCAATCCAATCAAGTATAGACTGGTAAACAAGTAGAAGTTTCTTTCCATTCATGCCAAAAGAATAGATTAAAGAATGTAGCTGATACATGCAAAGTAGCTCCATAAAAATCAAAATTATGAACAAAGCAAATGAATAGATACAAATATTTCACACGTGTTTACCGAAGCAGTTTATCAGAATGAACTGATAATTTTCTGCAGTAGAAATACGATTGAAGTTTTTTTTTGTTTTTTTTTCATTCAGTTGTGTTGAATATTGGAAACTGGGGGAAAGTTTTCTTACCAAAGTTTTGCTATTACTTTCTATATGAGATTTAAATGTCAATTATGCTGGTAAATAAAATATTTCAGATCCTAATATAGTTGTATACTATAACATACTGATTATTCAGTTTATACTGGAATTTGCCTGAGAATATTTTTAGTAATATTCATGATAGTAATTAATGATTTGACATTTATTGCTGTTGTGAGATATTTTGAAGCATCAATCGCCACATTGCAAATATAAATACATTGATTATTGGGACATTTAAAAAAATTGTATTTTCAAATTAAAAGCCTAAATTCAATATAATTAAATATATTGAAATGTATTTGAATATTTGGTAGCTCGGGTTGGTAGTTAGGCTGTTGGTTTGAGATCCAAGGTTGTCAATTTGATTGCATAAAATTAAATATTTTGTTTCAGTAACAAGAATAATGAACATGGGATAATTCTACCTGTTATGATGCATTAAACTAGTGAGCAATTTCTAACCTGGCTATAATGTTGAATAAATGTGTGATCCCATTCAAACCCACTGAATGCTCATTTTAGAAACCAGATTTCCATCAATGAATGCAACTGAGAATTCCAGACCAATGGAATCCCTCACTCAGTTCCTTTGTAACATTGTTTCTTTTCTTATAGGACTTTCTAATGGAGTTTGAGAGCTCTGCCTTCTCCTGGTAGTAAGCAATTTATGTTGTATTTAAAAATACTACAGTATTACATATAGATTAGTAGAATTATAGAATCACAGAGCAAGAATTTTTATATTACTGAATCCCATTGTCTTAGTGCTGGAGTTTAAACTAAAGCATTGCCATCAATATTATCAAGGTTTTGCTTGAATAAATCAAGTAAAGGAACCAATCACTTCTCAGAATAATTGGTTCTGTTTTTTGGCTGTTTTACTGTTTGGGAATTTTTCTAACACTGAAATAGAATTGCTTTTCTAAAACTTAAATCCATTATTGTGCCTTTTACTCTGCTACAATAGTGACTCTTCTTGAATTTCAACTGTGACATCCTTTCAGATGTTTGGAAAGTGTCATCATGATATACCTTTGCATGCTTTTCTTGTCAAAGCTAAACATTCCTAATTCTCTCTTCAGAGCATTTTGTTTCTAGTACTCATTATGCAATAATGATATTATTGGAAATAATATTTCTGTTGATGCTACCTGGTTTTTTTCAGACACATCACATATTTAACTCATTCTCTGTATGAAATGAACAGCTGTTCCAAGATCTTATTTACTAGTCTAGCATTTCCCAAGCTATATCTGTATATTTCATTTTGTTTCCTAAATGCAAAACTATGCCTTGTTTATGTCAAATGTTATTCTGTTGTTTTCAACCAATTCATCTAACTCTCCAGAATAATTTTGCAATGAAAATTGTTAAAAATGTAGAATAGTATTGGACCGGATTTTATGGTACTTGGCTCAGTATTTGACAATGATTATCATGAATGAAAGTTGAATTTTTACTTAATTATCGGGCTTTGCACCCTGCATTTAATAGAGATCAATGCATAGTTCAACTACATTATTACAGAATTGTGATATTGTGGAATTCACAGAAATCAAGCAATCAATTCATAAATTGCGCTTGCAATTTTTAGATTTCTGAAACCAAAGGATTGGATTAGGATTTACAGCAATAAGGTCAAAGGGAACCTACTAGTTCCATTCTATTAGCAGCTTGAATTCTGTAGGGATACAATTCTGTATGGATGCTATAATCCCTACAATTCTGTAGAGATTATAGAAATGTTCTCAGTGCACTACAACCTGATATTTTGACAGAGGGCTTAATTGTCTCAGGTTATCCTGATAAGAATTTTAGAAATATTTCATATTATACGACTGGAGTGGAGAAGTTGCAGTCAATATTGACAGAGCTCTAGTATATCATGGAAGAACAATTGTCTACAGCAAAGCAAAATTTAATCAAGGTGATGACATGCACATGACAAAGCGCTTGTCCTTATACACTTATGCCTGGGATATCATTTGTCCTTCCTGGGCCTTTCCTTCGATACCTGGGTATGGAGGTCTCTTTTTGTGTAAAAAAATCTCAAGAACTTTTAATGTAAAGTGTTTACTATTAATAAAATATCTGGCTGGGTATTATGGTAGCTTTATTGAAATCTTTATGAAAGGCTATACATTGGGAAAGAATGTAATATATTATTGCAGATTATTTACATTTTAGATAATAGGTAAGCCATTATTTAATTCCCTGTATACTAATTCTGAGGCACTAGCTTTTCACCTGTGGAACATAAGAGACATAACTTTGGAAATGTAATACCATCCTTTCTACTGTATGTGTAATTTTTTTTCAAGATTTCTATTATTAAAAATGTCTTTCCTTTCTTGAAGATATTATTGCTTTCCCCACACCCCATATGTATTTGATTATGTATATATTTCAGCAGTGAAAATTTTCAGTGAGTTCTTCATTCTATATAGGGTGTATGTGGCAATGATTTTTAAAATATATTCTGCTATCTTGTGGACTACAGTGATGTAAACTGAATTAAGTCAAAACATTGGGAAGAAATGATGACAAACATCAGTGAGTGAATACATTAAAAAATACTACAATAGCACAAACACGGAACATTTTCCTGAAAGCATTGTGCTGTTTTGTATAATCTTAAAAATAAAATACAGCATATTTACCAGACAGCAAACTCAGTGGGGTTTAACATGAATAAACATTGTTATTTGGCATAGTTAGGATGCAGTTTTATCCATAATGAACAGCTTAATGGGAGTTAGTCAATTCACATTAATACTGTTATTCACATGGCCTGTTATTTTTTCTGAATTTATTTAATATATTTTTAAACATTAGATAAATACTCCTGTTTAGTAATTTCACAATAGGTAATCAATTAGGAAAGAAGCAAGCTATTTTGTACTTTATGTCATCATTAGTGTACTTTATATTATAAGAACTTCCTTTAAGAATTCCTTTAACTTTCCTTTCTTCCTTTTTCTATTCATGTCCCATCTTTTAATTATTCTCAAGAACAGTATAATAAATTTAATAGTTTTATGACAATTCTAAGTAATGGGTTGCCTCATAACCCTACAATTATTTAAGAGAAAATATAATCCTGAGGAATATTTTGATTAAAAAATGTGAGTTATTGTTGCAATAATGACATGTTAAAGTGGAGCTTCACATTGCCACTTTATTAATAACACCTCTAACAACTGCTAATACTAATTAGCAAAAAGAAAAAATCGTACTATTTTTTAGAACCATCCTGCTTATGCAAGGTGTTTTGCTTTTAGTTATTATAACATAACCTAGTGTAATCTTTTTATGGTTGGTTATGAATGTATTTTTAATTTTTCTTGATAATTTTTTCTTCAAAACCTTACAATATCTATTTTAATTCCTATTTTAAGTAAGCAATATATTTTGTAATTTCAGGAGCAAAAATAAAATATTACCTAACATATCACATCAATTTAGGAATGTAACAGATAAAATTGTAGTGCCTGTTGCATTTGTAAGACTTCACAGACAATCAGTCTAGTTAAGACAGAAGGTACCTACAGAGAAGACATTAATGGAAGCCTATTGCTTTCGTGGGTCCAATTAAGACCATCTATTTGTGAAAGGCAACCTCCAGGTAGAAGTTGGAACACCTATTTTGTCCATCGGAATAGCTTGTGTCATAATTTAAAGGGGAATTGTCTAAATGTTAAAGAGGTTCTGTCTAATTTTTAATTTTTAAGTGTGTTTTATCAATAAGATTAGCCTTGAAATCCCTCAGTAGAGGTTTACATATGCATCATAGTTTGAACTTGAAGTCTATTTTTGAAATATGGATGTGCTCTTGGTCCCAAATCCATCTTGTCATTCCTTAGCAAGCAATGAAAGATAATAAGTACTATTCACCTGATTGCCTTCCTGCTCTGAGACAGCTGGTGACGCTTGTCTTCCTGATAACCAGGACTTTCAGATCTAAGGCAGGAATAAAGAAAAGCTGGAAGCTTGCTGAATCTAAATTTGACAGTCGATGGCAGTGTTCAGGGGTCAGGAGAGATAGAATCTCTGACACGTATAAGAAAGGAACAAAATTTATCTGCTCTGGTTGCAATGATTAGATGTCTCGTCTGGCTTTCTTATAGTGGATGATTGATCGTGCCCGCCAGCTGCCTAATATCATAATTAACAAAGTTGCTACGGTGTCTGAGAAGTTTAATCGAAAAAAAATTTGCCAACAGTGTGATGCTGTTGTTACCCATAAAGATCAGAAGCAGGGCAAAGTCGACTTTTGGACTAATGGAGCTGCAGAACTATGTGGGCAGAATAAGAAGTAGAGCACCTGAATGGATAATGGTATGTGCTTTGTTTCTGAACTGCATTGTCCATATAGAGACAGATTTTAGTTTTCATTTTCAAGATGTCATTTGATATAACTCCATTAGTATTTGATGCTTTCTTGATGTCTACCGTCTGCACAATTACCATTGTTAATTATGTTGTGAAATTATTTTTTAAAAACAGTTGTGAATGTGATAATTGTTGCCATGGTTATTCTATCCCCCTCCAATTACAAGCTTATTCTCTAGAGTTTCCACATTTTCTTACAATGTGTCATGCGAAAAATGTAACATAAAATAAACATGAAAATATAGTCAGTGCCTATTTGTAGTATGCTAAGGGATGTTCTCTGGTATATATATTTAGACACTTGACTGTGGTTATAGAAGTTTCTAACAATGTCTATTTACAATTGTGATTCTTAAATTCCCCAGATCATTTAGGAAATATTGAGCCATTTCATTACTTGATCTGAAATCTTTATATGTTTTACTTGTGAAAAAAATATTCCACTGTGCTCTTTCTTTGTTGCTGTGTAATGTGTCTCTCTCTGTGTGTGCTTCTTTTTTCTTTGTAAGGTTTATTTGCTCACACAGTTATCCCTGGAGTACCTGTGATATTGCCATTCCAATATATGACAGGGAATATTTACAGTGATGTGTATGTCCATGCCACATATAACAAAGAGAAAGATTAAGAATGTGGAATTGTAGAAAAAAAGACAAAGGAAACAATAGCTGGCTTATGGAACAGCACATGGAAAATACTAATTTAAAGCATTTAAAACTATACATTTCCCTGCAGCTTAGATTTAATGAAGCACATGGAAAAAGAAATCTTGATTTGTCTGGATGATAATTGTGAATTATTATTGTTAGAATTAAATTATATATTTAATGGAGTAAGGATACAGTTTAACTAAATATGTAATGAATCAGTGTGATCAAAGATAGTTATCATAACAAATATATATCTGAAAATTATTTTTTATACTTTTGTTTACTCTGTTCTCAATAAAAAATAGAAGTTGCTATGCACTATATAAATAGCCCATTCAGTATTTTAAAAACATTAATTTTTTTAAGTAAAATTCAGTTGGATAATTTTACATTGTTTGATCAAATTTATAAAGAAGATAATTAAAAGTGATGTCTAGCAGTTTTCCTTTTCTCAGCCTTTTTAAAAAAATTGCTCATCAAAAATATTATTTCATATCATCATTAGACTATAATTTTAACCTTCCTTGACATTTTTATAGTTTGGCTTTGGGTTTAAACAAATCAATACTTTGTTCTGCCTGGAACAAAGAATTGTATAAATAGAATAACGGACAACAGATTAGTGATGCAAATTTCAATTTGAAGGAAAAACATAAGTAGGTAGAATAAATATATTGTTCCTTTAATCAGCACACCCATAATATTTCATGTAATTGAAATGTAGTGTGTTGTTAAAACTCAGCTGGAAAACCAAATAATTGTATGGATTATAAAAGGAATATTAAAAGGGGAGGTGGGTGGTAAAATTTTGTGTGGGACTATATGGTGAAGTTTAGCTTTGGTGCCAATTTTTAAAACATTTATGCTTTCAATATGCTTTTGTATTATGTTGATTTATTATTGATATTGTTTTAATTGCTGATAGGGAGATGTGCAGAGTTCAATATAAGACAGGAGGCTATATAATGTTTTAAATAAATAAATAATAGTGTCACAGCAAATGTTTCTGGCTTTAAATAGGACAGTTTTGTATTGCAGTAAACTCCTTGTAATAGTTTCAAAGGAAGTAATAACTTCTAGGAATATGTTCACACAGATGTGCTAATATACAGATTAGCAATGTGCTATTCAGCATTGAAATAATAAATGTTCCCCAGGTGATACAATCTGCAATTTTTATTGGTGATTAAAGTTTGATGAACCTTTCATTAAGCTTCCAGAAATTAAAACCCAATTCTAAAGAAATGAGGTCACTATAATTTTCAAATACAAGAAACAAATGTTTATGATCAAATTTCAAAAGATATTTTAATTCTCCTTTTTTTCTTCTTTACTTCAGTAAGAAGATAATATAATACAAAGGACTATGACATAGTCTGAGCTGCATTACTTTGAACACTAAAATTACTTTTTAGAATTCAGTGAGAAAATATACCTGCAAAGGAATTTCAAAACTGTGGCCGAAATGATTAAAAAACAGGTAAGATAAAGAGTATTATTTGTCAGAATGTGTTCTTGTATTAAAGGTCACTGATAGCCTAAAAAAGAAAATACTTAATTTAGTCTGTTTTAATATCAGTCTCTGAAGCTACTACATGATAACAGAATGTAGCATAAAAAGAACCATATCCCAATTAAACTGTAGTTTTATATTTACATGAAGAAATGCTATTGAATTCAGAAGGATTTAGAAAAAGCAGATATAAGATTTCCCTGATACGCAAGTATGTACATTGATTTTTGTTATTTATATATGAAGGCTAGGAAGAGGTCCAGTAATTTTATATTAATTATATTTATACAATTCTGATTATGAGGTACAGTTTTGAGGCATTTACAATATATTTTAGTACTTTACATTTTTTAATAGGATCTTATGTGAAGGATCTTATTTGTTTTGCAGAAATATCACTATAATATTTTCATTGCATTCAATCTGCATTATATTGGAGTTGTTACCTATTTACCTATCAGATATTTAATCAAATCAGTGAAAATTATCATTATTTATTAACTTTGGAATGATTCTTAGATGGATTTTATAAGGTCTTGAAACACAAATTCATTTCCACTTTACTAATTTTCAATTTTAAGTAAAATGGATGTTAAAAATAAAAGGAGGTGATCATGTGTGTAAAATTTACTGACCAGATGTTTGCTGTACCAGCATTTTTGTATTATTATTTCATATTTTTTCTAAATGTAATGCTTTTTTCAAAATAGTAAAATGCTTGAAAATTGTTTCAAGTTCAACTAAAACAAATTTTAAAAACTTTCAGTTCTCTGTGTTTTGTACATCCATTCTTATAATCTCTAAACCTCTAATTACTACCTGTGCAACATGCTGCAGTATTACTGATGGATCACTCCTGAATTAGACAGCTTTATTCACTGTAGTTTTAAATGCTGAAGTGCTTTAATTACTTCTTTATTACTTTTTGAAAGAAAAATATGGTACACAGCTAACAAATGAGAACTTGTATTGACTAATTACCGTATGTCATTTGGAATAACCAATTCAGCATTAAGTCCACAAAGAGGAAGATTTTAAATAAAATTATACAAAAAGTTTTTTGAAATGGATCACTTCTGAACAAACCTTTTGTTGCTCACAGCATCTTTATATACAGTAGTAGAGTGAAACATTAAGTACTATAAGAAGCCACAGTTTAAGTTCTGTTTTTGGATTGATAGAAAAGCAAGTATAAGAGCACCTAGAATAGAAAACAAGAAACAAACCAGAAGAAAGCTAGATTAAACCCCTCCCACTAATTGAAACTTCATTTTTTCATGTGCAGGGATTATTAATATTTTTTAAAAAATTATTAAATTATTAAATTAATTAAATCACAATAACTTTAATGTCTATAGACTGATCCTTGTACTTTCAGCTGAAGATGCATATTCAGTTCATAAAATAAATCCTAAATATTGGAGGGAGAAATGTATAAATCCATGAAATAGGCCTGTCCACTTCAGCTAATTCTCTCATTGATGAAACAGAAAACTCTGCTCTTTATGTATATTACAAAACAAAGATCTCTATTTTAAAGGTTAAAAAGAACAGTTGTGAGCCAACTGTAATATCGATGTTAACTTCACTGAATACTTAGTTTCTATCTTTTTAAATATATGAATGCTATTAAAATGGTAATAAATATGCAGTCTTCTGCCCTTTCCAATTTATTTCTCTCTTTCATCAAAGTTGAATTCCCAACTACTGCCAAGGTAGAGAAATACTTGGTATTGTTGTGTAAATGTTAAAAACCCTGAGGTGGCAGCTATCTTATACCTAGCCCTTCCATTCACTCTTAAAATACCTTTTCAGAAGAAAAAAAAAACTTCTTACAGGATTCCATGAAATATGACAGAGGAAGGAAACTACCTCGCTATAAGAGTGGTTAAATTGCGGGGGGGGGGGGGGGGGGATTTCAGGATATTGAAGTAGGAAAAATGCATACTTTTAAGTTTATATTAGGATCATATTTTAACATGAAATGAAAACTATTGCAGGGCTGAATACAATTTGTGGAAGTGCAGAAGAGCATAGGTTCTACAATTAATCCAAGTAATCAGGTTACGGATTAATTAAACTGTATTGCTTGTGCTTATTTTTTAAATTTAAATTCACTGAATTCTGCCAACTTATTTCTGAGTGAACATGAGTAAGATCATTGATATATAGATATAGATATTACCCATTACTAATTTATAACTGTCTTTCAATTTTAGCTGTTTTTCCCCAAATGTTCAGTTTTTATTTTAAAATTTTTGAGAAATTACATCTAAGTTAGAAAATTATATATTTGTTTGTGTATTTTCTCTAACAGTTGTATCCATGTATTCTACACAAAATCGTTCTTAGACTGTACTTAATTTGGTATGAAAATATCATTGTACCTTGATAATTTCCTGAATATCCTAGCATACTTATTTCTCATGCAAGTTCTAATCTAACATCAGCCATGGAAACTCACTGGGTAACTTTGAGCCAATTATTCTATTAAAGCCCAACTTGCCTTATAGTTGCTGCTATGGAGAAAATTAAGAGGACAGGGCAGTATATATACTGCCTTGACTTTCTGAAAGAAAAAAGGAATATTAAGTTAATAAGTAAATGCTAATAAGATACATAGTACAGTTGTAGAATAAGAATGTAAAAAGAGGAAAAAAATCATATGAATTGAGGGCCAATATAGTTCTATTAACTGTGGGACACATCTTTCATTTAATCAAGTCATTTAATTCAGGGGTGGGATTCTACCAGTTCAGCCCAGTTTGGGTGAACCCGTAGCTCCGGATCAGCTGTGAGTGAACCAGTTCACTCAGACAATCAGTTGCTGGGCCCATCCACTCACCCTGGCTCTAGTCTGTGCTTTATATCCTGTTTTTTCAAGCTCGCCTGATTCGCACGGCACAGCAGATTGCTGCGCGTCAGCTGTTTAGCACACAGATTGCTGAAGAAGGTCAGTAGCAAACGCTCTGCGTGCATGCAAAGTGCATGTTTGGCATGCACATGCGCAAAGTGCACGCTCATTGAACCGGTTGTTACACCAGTTGAGTCGCACCCCTGATTTAATTATGTAAATGGCATCTAACCCAAACTGAAATTGCTGGGAATCAGTATATTGTTTGTACCCAACTTTACATTTCTGCTCCTGATCACTTAGTATATCAAGTTTTAGTATATCAAGACTGGGGTAGTTTGAATAAGAAGAACGGGCTTCAACTTAGCCTGACAAAATTAAGTAGCTCTGCTTGAAGTGCATTTAGAAGCTGTGGCAGTTACAGAAAGTAGTAGGCAGTTGGTTGTATGCTCAATCAGCACATAATACACCAGTGCTTAAAAAGCTGCATTGGTTGCCAGTATACTTCTGAATTTAGTTCATCATGCTGGTAATTGTGGTAAGGAAAGGTAATTCCTAACATAGGGCCAACATGCTACAGGTTTCATCTATCAGTGTCATTTGGTAAGATCTAGGAAAAGTCTTTCTCTTAGGCCCACCTTTTGGAGCACAAATCCCCTGTAGACTACATTAGCCCCAGTTCTGCTGGCTTTCTACAAGGCTTTTAAGACAGGGCTGTGTCACCAAGCTTGGAGATCCAGATGTATGACAGAGCCGATGCAATACTTGTACTGATTTATTTGCTGGTTGTTTTGGTTTTTACCTTGTCTGTTTATTATGTATGGATTATGTAATTATGTATGCAAATTATGTGCCTTTATATGGTGCTTTTTAGCTGCTGTTAACTATTCAGAATCATGAGTTTGAGATGGACATCCATAAAAATTGAAATATAATTAAGTAAATAAATATACAGATATTGTATAAGAAAGATGACATTGCAGCAAATAAGGGCTCAAATATTCTAAACTCTGTAATTAGATGCAGCTGGAACCATTAAAAGGCTCATCTCCATATTCTATCCCTAGCAGGTAGTTCTAAGAATACCATGGTTTGATAGAATTGTATATTGCAAAGGAGTAGAGTAATACAGAGAAAAACTTGAAGGTATGCAAAAACATTATGTAAATATCACCCTAGCTCTGAAAGAGAAGAAACGTTTAGAAAGAAACTCAAGATTTTCCTGCTTTATTTTTTTTCATATAAGAGATGGGAAAGAACTGTCAGGCTTTCAAAAGTCTATTATTGTACTCTACAGTAATAAAACCAAATTCCAATAATCTTTGTGGAATCTGTTTCCTGACCTGGCCAATTTCAAAGGGGTGACAGAAGAGATCCAAAATGAACATATATTTGTTATTTCCTGAAAAAGATAATTTCCTAGTAAAGTAAAGGTTTAGTAAAGGTTTAGCGGCTGTTTTATGTATTCTATAATGTGGTATGATATCTTAGAACAATATTTATATGTAATCCCATATTTGAATTATCCTTTAGCCTGCAATTCAAATCTTATCCAAAAAGTGCTTAAAAACATGTTGGCTTTTTAAATGTCTAAATTTGGATAGAAGTAGGCTTTCCAAATATTTTTTTTTAAAAGAAAAGGATACCGTCTGGCATGCTTGACAAGCTCTATAAACAAACAAATAAATTACTATTTTAGATGAAGTCTAAATAATGCTTTTATTTTGTTTTCACGACTCAGTTCTACCATCATACATCAGGGTCATCTGAAGTAGGAGGGTTCACTCTACTGCTTTACAGAAGCTACCCTGCATTTTGAAGGAACTATACATTTTGTGCAATTCCATGCAGCTCTGGGATATTCATGGTTGTTTGACAAAAGTTCATTTATTTAAATAAACATATAAATTATTTATTTAAATATTTGCTATTCTTGAAAAGCTATAATTCCATTATTGCCGAAAGCCAAATTTTATACTTATAAAAAGAGAATGAAAAAGGAGAATTCTAGATCTAAGGGGTGGATGAAACATCTAAGATTTTTCTAGTGTGTAAATCATGGTTGTTTATTCAGAAAAGAAAACAACCCATTCAGTTTGTAAAGGAATGCATA